CGCGCGTCGCCGGAAAACGTTGACTTTCTCCATTGCGCAAGAGCAGCAGCCACTTCCCGCTCGACTGCTGCCCCTCCCAACCACCTCCCAGCCCCCGCCCCTCCCCCGCACACGTCGCTCACGGCACTCCTCACCTATTTTCCGAGTAGGAAATGAGCTTATTGCGCAACCTCAGCTTTTCACCGATGTCGGCGCAGCATTCCATCGCGACGCGCGACTCCGGGGCTGACGTCATACGGCATGCACATCCTGCTCGCAACCTGCTCACTGCAGCCGGCGGCACCCGGGGTGATTATTTGCTTTAAATTTCTTATAAATAACAATCCGTTATTGCGAACAACACGTGCACTGGATTTAAAGCCATCATGTTATACTTGACATTAGCATGTCGACTGTTGAGTAGGTGATTCGGCGCCGCGTCACTTTCTACCGACCGTATCGGAAGAAAGTGAGAGTGCAAGCGTCACTGCGCTCAGCTCGGCCGGTTTGGACACTTTCTCTGATGGGATACACGCGCCGAATTCTGTAACTCCTGACCGAACGCGTAGGTCTTGTTTTCTTTAAGACTGCTCGTAAAACCGAAATTTTATTTAACTACAATAATGATTACTGGTAATAAATTATTGAAATACTGATTATCGTGGACTGGGGCTCTACGCACTTTCTCGGGGGCTATAGAAACGACAAAGTTCATTTCATTATGAACTATTTGTAAAGTATTATAAACTGATTCAAAATGTTTTCGACTTAATACTATAATTTTATTTCCTTAACGTGTCCCATTAGGATCCAGCCAGCCCAGGGGTCTTTTTGTCTCCAAGAGACTGTCCTTAAAATATATCAGAAACTGACGTGTCTAGGGTAGAGGATATAGTGTAATAAGGTTCTGTAGCTCCGGCTCGAATCAAGAGGAAACTGGGTGGTTTTTAGCTAGTAAGAATTGCAGGGCTAGGGTGTGATTCGATGATCTTTCCCTCTTATAAATTCTCTTCATGTGGTATCCAGGTGATCCGGCGGTGATTCCATATCAAAGAACTATTTACAAACTGTCGAAAATATATGCTTACGTCTGACATAGTTATCTTGTTAGATTTTATTTACGTATAAAACTAATATTTAAATACATTACTCGCGACTTTCTATGTGCGTAAAAAGTTGCTATAGGAATTAAACTTTAGAAATTTTGAGGAACTCTCATTTAATTTCTTTTTCCACATTCCCGAGGAACGCGCGTACTAAGTCTAGTCTTCGGTGATTGTTTGCCCGTTGGTCAGACGGTGAGTTTCTCAGTCGCCAGCAAAGTATTGTGCTTTGTGTACATTTTTACTACCCTGCCTTACTGTACTTGCCTGGTTGACGTACACAATTCTTTCAGCAACTCTATCAGCAATGTAACAGAAACTGATCTAGCTTAGACCTTTAATAATGTTATAATAGTATAACGCAATTAGGTAACATACGTACAGTACACACGGACAAGACGATCATAATGTAAATGATTACGGTAATGAAGAGATGCACGTCATGCTCGGAGAGACACTGAGGCGGTAATCACGCAGTTGACTGAAAACCATTTATGTTAACGTTAAGGATATGTGCATTATGTGACTACAACTGACCGATACCATATTGTATGTTGCCGGCTGTATATCAAATTGGTTGTGAGACACAGACTGTATATCGCTGGGAGTTTGTTGACGTCATATCGGTCAATTACGGCGACATGCGACAGCGTGCCCGCTGGATGAGGCTGTGTGCAGCGTGCAGCGTGCAGCGTGCAGAGTACAACGTGCCAGTGCGCAGTGATTGTATAAGACCGGTGCGTGGTGTGCGCACGGCGTGGCGCGAGGAAAGCGTGGCGCGCGCGCACGTAACGCGCAACTGGGTTACTTCCCGCTTCCTGCCACCGCTGCGCCGCTGCGCCGCTGCACTACTGCTCGCTGCATCGCTGCACTATGGTGGCGCGGTGCCGCTTTTTGTGAAGGAAACACCAGCAATGCGTGTCTGCTCCCACGACCGCGATTGTGTCACTCCGATACATACTGCTAACAAGAAACTGCTTATGTATGGCCGATTTCAGACTAGGTAGTGAGTTTTTAATGACTTGAAAACTTCTCGTTTTGTTTACGGTTACTGCGTCCTGACTACACCTGTCTCTTCACAAACTACGCTCAACACCAGAAAAGGCATCACAGATAATAATTTTACTATCATTCACTACCTAATTCGATTTTAAACTTACTTTTCATGTTTGTTGCTAATTAATAAGAAACTAGCAGTATTCGCTGCTTCGCTCGCGCTACGATTATAATAATGTCGTTGTTTTCCCTGATTAGGTACTTTTATTTAGTATCATTTGTAACTAATAAGTATAGTCAGTCACAGTTAAATTATCTTATATCTCACTCAGTCGCGCGCATCGTTTCCTTGTGTAAACCGCCAAGTAGAATTCCTTGCCAGAGTTTGTTTGTGTATCCAGAAGGTACAAGTTCGGTATCTTCAAGTGTCCAGTGAATAGTTTGCTCGTTTGCAACAGTATTGTTTACCACCAGGCGAATTATACATGTTGGCATCCCATGCAGACCTTTTAATTGTGTGTTATTACTGGTACTCCACGACTGCTAAATTACATGTAAACTCATATATTCCTAAAACATTTAATCACATTGTTATCTAATAATAATATAAGCGAATCAAATGTTTAGACAACATTGTGGGAGCGCCCAGTAACAGTCTAGTTACCTAGGTACTAGGTTATATTTTAAAATTAAGTTCCCACGGGGATGTACTTAACCGACTTTTAAAATAGAAAGAGGTTTTCAATTTGACTTGTAAGTATATATGTTTGTCCGTGACATTGACGTGACATCGGACCAATTTCGATGCGCATTTCACAAAAATTATATTGTTTCGCGTAGGAACAGGTATTAGACAACTTGTGCCGATTTTTCAATCAACAGATAGTAATTTTTATTCATAGTGATTCATCATAGAATAACATTAACGTCTATTAGTTTTTGTACGGACGATTGTCAAAAAATTTATATTATTCCACCGATCAAGGATTTTAAAACCATATTATAAGCTACCAGCGCACCCGGCAGACTTCGTATCGCTCTTCCCTGGTCTTCCACAAACATTTCAAGACCGAAATTAGCCAAATCGGTTCAGTCGCTCCCAAGTTGTAGCGAGACTAACGAACAGAAATTTATTTTCATTTATATATATATAATAAAGATGCGGCGTTTCGGAAACATGGCCCTTACATTATACCATCAAATTGTTTTAATTAAAAAATGAGGTTGATTTCGGATTTTTTAAACGATGATGAACTTTGTCATCTTGTGTCATTGGTAGGTACTAGTCGTGTCTTATTTACTTTCTTTCTTTCTAAAAATATGTGAATATTAAATATATACTACTTTCTTTTTATTTTTTTGTGCGTAAAATGTCAATATAGTGGGATTTTAACGATCATAATGGATAGAGATCGATCGATCCCCAAGTTGCCTGCCAAACGTGGAGTTAAGTAGGGCAAATGCTTCTTAGTAGCGAGCCTTTGTTCAGTAGCAGAAGGTCACACACGGTACAACTACTGCTGATGATGAACATGATGACGAAAACGATGATACGCTGTTATTCAGATTTTCTATAGGAACAGTTAGAAATGCGTAGTGTTTTTCAGATTTCAATGATAGGTTCTAGGTATAAATAATTATATTTTTCAACTCTGCTGTCTGGTGAAAGTCTTACGTTGATTATAAATATTGACTTGAATTTCCTCCTCACGGACGGGTATTATGATGTTGTGATGATTGGCCAGGTCGGTCGCTGCGCCGCCGCCGAGCTATGTAAATGTGCTGGCTCGCCTTGAGAGGCCGCGTGCCGCGTCACACACGTCTACCTAGAGTAGACGCTAGACACACACACGCTCCTGCCACGACTCAGTTCACACTGCCATCCTCTCGCGGTCCAAGTACAGCTGGCTAATGTCACAAGTAACCAGGAAGCATGGGAACTAGAGTGGGATACGATGATAAATTAAAATTATATTAAAAATAATAGTACACTTGTAAACCTATTTCTATGGAATAAGTCAAATGGTCACCAGTGATGGGTGCAGGCCAGGGTGAGTGCGTGGTCAGTCGCAGTCACTAGGCAGCCAGTGGTGTAATGCTGGAGGTGTGGGAGCTGGCGGAGGAGGCAGTCCGCGCGCGGTCACGCGGCGGGGCACGCGCGCCCCCGCCCGCGCCCCGCCGCGTGACCTACAACGTGAGCACCCTCCGGCCTTCGACGACAGATCAGCTTCTACTAATATCCTCGTCATATTCACGTGCGCATCTCCCACTCGTATACAACATATAAATAATTTCACAAAAAAATAACTTTACCACTATAATCTTCGTAACATCAACTCTTCAATATTTACCACGCCTATGTTTTTGAATAATGAGCCTTGAAACCTACGTAATGAATCGGTAACGACTTCTTCCTACTACCATCACACCGAGACCTCATAATGTTACTGACACTACATCATGTCCTGCATAGTTGTCATAGCAACGGGAGGCCTACGAGATAGAAATGCGTGTCATAATTTCCACAAGAAAATTAAAATTTGTCCATTGTTGGAGATGACGGAGCGGCGACTAGCTCCTACCCTGGGTAACGTCTTCCATTCCCGTCTCACTGGTAGGCTCGCAGGCACTTTCACCAGCTTGTCGTCCACTGCGCCCAGAATACGTCTCGTTGTCCGTCCATGCAACCTTTATTGTCTATTTGTCTTGTACATTTTCAATGCATAAGCGTGTGCGACTTAGTAATATAGTGATTGAACCGAATGTATTGTGAATGTTGCCCTCGCGATTGTTTGCACCTGTAGCGAACGATTTGAGTGAGTGATCGCGCGCCCCGTCAGCGCGAGTGAGCTGTGCTCTGTGGGCCACGCGTGCGGTGGTCGCGCCGGCACCGGAGCTGACGCCCTGTCATCATTGTTGCAGGCAAGTCGGTGAACAGTAAGGACCCGCTCGAAGACAAGAAAGATGACAGTGACCTGTGGGAGGCGCAGGCCGCTTTCCTCGGGCCAACGCTATGGGACAAGACGCTGCCCTATGACCCCGATCTCAAGGTACAAGAAGTCAGTACTCGCTACTTTATTACCTACTGCGTGTTGCGTGTCGTGTGCCGTCTCTCACCGACTTTCTAACCGCGCCGTACCGCTGCCGTGCCGCGCACTAGGTAATAGAGACGCTAGCTAACTGCCCCACCCTGCCACCCCCAGCCCTCATGATCCATCTCACTCCACCCGGACTACGCCGGGTTTGACCCTCGTTCTGCTTCGGCCTCGTGGTGTCTCCATACATTTACTGTAGTTGATAGACATGTAATGTTTATGATATAAGTGATGATAAGCCTAGCGAATATGCTCAGCGCGAATGTTAACCCTGTTCTGCTATACTGGTATGTGAGTGGAGTGCTGGAGGAGCGCGGTGCTCAGTGCGCGGTGCGCGCAGGGCGCCGGGCGCGGCGCTGACGCGGGTTTCTGTTGCAGTACGCGGACCTAGACGAGTTCCTGTCGGAGAATGGCATGTCGGGCGAGGGACTGGGTGGAGCGCACCTCGGCGGCTCGGCCTTCGGGCCAGCGCTCGGCCTGCAGGCGCCGGTCACCAAACGGGAGCGCTCGCCTTCACCCTCCGACTGTATGAGTCCAGATACCATCAACCCGCCGCTCTCACCCGCCGACTCCAGTATGTATTCATTTTTGGATTTAAAATACACATGAAAAATAATATAATAAATGAAGTAGAACTTCGGGATATCGTATTTAAATATAGCTTCTATAATTTTGAGGAATACGGTTCATTTAATCACAAAAATATAATATGGGTCCCACAGTCGTGCACATAGCAATCCCTACGGCGCGACTTGAATAATACTGATATTAACGCAGTATTGCATACTAGAAGTCAACATGTATTACAAAATGATAATTAAATTTATTCATTGATTGTTAACACCGGCTGAGTTATGTTGCAGTCAAATCAAATCACTAATTTCATTTAGACTAATGTTAGAGACATTTAACTAATTTTGAACATCTAACTAATTCACCAAGTATTTCGACACCTGCCCGTTACAGTCGCTGTTCAAGCTAAAAGTAAAATTTGTCCAACTTCTTGCATCGCTTATATATGTACTTGAATTATAATTTTATTCACTTGAGCTCCATTCATAAACATGTCCTTGTGCATGTTTAATAAACTTCTTCTAAGTTTTTCCCTTCATTTCCAATTTGTTTATTTTTTATCAAAGAATGATTCGTAAAATCAAGCCAATGACAGCTATACATTCAACGTACAACGTACTTGAATTTAGTGTTCCCGTATCTTTGAATATTATTAGTTCCTCAAACACAATAAATACTATATATTTAATATTTTCACCAGAACCTCACATAGTGAACTTATATAATTTCAGCGTTTTCGATGGCATCATCGGGACGTGACTTCGATCCTCGGACGCGCGCTTTCTCCGACGAGGAGCTCAAGCCGCAGCCAATGATCAAGAAGTCCCGGAAACAGGTAAATGATGTTAGTGCGCTGATCATTCCTAGCGGCATGCTGCGGTCCGCCTGCGGGTGTGGCGCACACGCACACACACACAAACACACGCACGCACACACACACACACACACACACGCACACACACACGCACACGCACACACGCACGGGCATGCACATTTATTCCACCAAAAGCGCATTGCGTGACACGACATTAATGTACATATTCCTAGTTCTACCAATGGAGACGAGATAAATATTGAAAGGCTATGGACAAGAGTAATAATAATATTACGGAAAGTTGAGGTCAGGTTACACAATTAATGTCAGGAGATATTGTAGACAAAGCAGGGGCCAGACGTTAAGTCCGCCTACCGTCACTCGATGTGTCGTGACCCTTACATTATTATTTATTTTGTACTATGTATTACCATTAAATTAAAACCTTCACATAGAACACCCACAGCAATGTTGTGTAATCTTTATAATGTGCGCATATACAAATGAACCTGTGCTTGAAAGTACCAAATTACAGATATTAGATAATAAATTTAATGCATTATAAACAACACCAATCTTAGAGCGCATGTTTTACGCGAGTTATATAGTTTATTTTGACTTTTGTTATTACTGTAATAAAATAAATATTGGGAACTTTTTACTAATTTTTGCTTACGCACGTTGTGGGCCCCCGTAGTCCGGCCGCGTAATTAATACGCCGGACACGGCGCTAGCTACGCCCCTGTCGCACCACCAGTCCTCCATGGCTGGGATATAGTAAATGAAGTTAATATAATCGCACCGAATTAAGGCAAGTTGCACAACATCTAGGGAGCTATGACTATCACTACTATCGACAAAGAACTTTAAATATGATTTATTTAGATTTGAATTAGTTTTATTTTCTGCCAGTTAAAATATTCTGAGTGAATTACTTACATAGTGAATTCATAATCATAATTCATTGCTGATTTATTGTGTCCAAGCCTTGTTTACTGAAAAGACAAACAATATTATTTTCTATTAGATCTCGGAACGCCGCAGACAAAACTAATCGAGTTACCTCGTCACTTGATTTCCTTTGGCTGTGGAATTTGTAATGCCTGAATACTTGTATGTATTTAATTTCAATAGAGCAGGCAACATGCAACACGAACTGCTGCACGTGTGCACTGTGCACGTGCTACCGGTTTCATGTACATAAGAATTTGTATCACTTGCAGAAGGTTGAGGAGGGCAGGTGGCAATCGCTCCATGTGAGAGACTGACCTTCCGCCGAAACGGATAAAAATGCTTTAAGTACTTAGACTCAGTACTCCTTTGATAAATTAGTAAAGTACTAGCAGAAAGGAATAATTATATACATTGTACAATTAGGTATTACTCATTTGTAGCGATTTCTGTCAAGTATAGTAGGAGTACTCGCCTCACACACTGACACACTCACACACTCACACACTCACACACTGCACTGCTTGCTAACGCCAACACTGTCGCTAACACCAATTTGTTACTAACGCAGTGCTGCGCGGGCACGGAGGACTTTTTGTGCTGTTTCATAGATGTGCCTCGTTAGGACGTCACAGTGACGTTACCAGATACATATTCAAGCAGTAAATATTAAATCGTAGCATGTCTAACTCACTTGGTGACGTCGCCAAGTTTGTTAGGAAGCGTGCACACGAGATATAGCTTCCCTGCGTGGTTTCTGGATACTCTGGCGGCGTGGCGCCGGCATCGCGACGTTGCCCATTAGCATCACACACGAGAAACCGGCGCCTCGCTTACTTAGTCGTCAGTGGGCTGCCATTTTAAGGGCACTAGTGTTGCATTGTTCTCACATAATTAAACTGACTTAACAATGTAACCAAAATGTGGATTCTGAAACTGATTGAAAAAGAGCAACCACGGAGTTTCCTGCTCGTTCTACACCATTGGTCGAGGAGGTACTCCCAGTGTAGGCTGCACTTTGAATAGCTTTACTTTTAATTTTGTTGAACATTCAGAAGACGCCATGACTACTCGAGTTTGCGACACGCTCTGATGCCAGACGTAACCAGACCTATGCCACTGGTAACGTCTCCATGGCATCCTAATGAGGCAGAGATCTACAGCAGCTAGCTTGACTAACGGACTGACTAACGCACAATTATTTATGTGGCATGCCCTAAATGTGACATTATTGAAACACGATGAGTGGATCTGATTGTGGTGTTAATAGCCTAGGAAAATAAGGGTTTCACCTTGGAATGTGAGATAGTTGGCTGGAAATTGTCCAATATCTATATTTTAAAAACAGTAATTGTCTCAAAACCTACTTAAAAATTTGATGATCAAAGATAAAAAAAGATATGTAATATTTATTGCATTTTTTTTAGTAGTATACGTTTGTATTTCCTATAATTAAATGTTGCAGGATAATGAATTCTCTACAACTTCTGACTATTTTTTTAACTTTTGAAATGTAGTCGATGCGGACAGTAGGGCGCCCACAGAGCGTACCTTTATTTAATTAAAGTATTAGATATTTGTGGTCAATCTTTAGTCCTCATTGATAATTATATGTTTTTAAATAATATAAATTGATATAACAATCCCACATGACGAGAATCTCGTGAAAGCTAAAAAAGATAAAGCAAGTACCTCATGAGATTGTCGACATGTGGGATGTGGATTCAACAGTCATTGTGCCGATAGTCGTATCTGCCAAAGGCTTCATTGCTAGAAGGCTCGATCAACACCTGAGTAGGCTAGCGTTAGATGGTAGGGTCAAGGGCCTGATGCAGAAAGCAGTACTTATGGACACGGCGCGTATGGTCCGGTAATTCCTACCTTCCTCTGAAGCCTTGACCACCCGTAGCTAGGACTTCTCCCATTAGTGCTTTTAATATTTTTAAATATCTTTTTTTATTTATTTAGTATTTCAAAATATATTTTAATCATGTATGAAAATAAAATTAAACGAAGTAAACTATCACTTGTTTCACAAAAAAAGTAGCAATCTTATTTTTGTTCTTTGATGGTGGCATTTCTATAGTTTACTATTTTAAAAACGTTGCCCTATACTAGAGTTTTCTCCCGTGTCGTGGGTGCGTTTACAAACATACAGACTCGGAATAACAATTTGTGGACCACAAAAAGAGTTGTTCTGTGCGTCCAACTTTCTCTCATTTCGATATTTTTACCCCCATGTAACATTAAAATAAATTTAACATTAAAATTTGTGTATTCTGTCTGGACTAACATGTCATTGTTATCGAAAATGGTTCTACGTATAAAAAAGAAATGTACACCAATATTATAGAGAATTCAATTATCTACAGTATCTGTGTACATACATAAAGCATAACACTCATAGGAATTGGAACATTTGCAATAAATATGTAAAATATAGTTTTTTTTCTTTGATCATCAATTTTCTATAGACGCTTACTGCCAACCCTAACCGTAGGTTTTGAGACAAATATTATAATTATAGTCAAAATAAAGAGATTTCTCATAATGTTTCAGCCGACTGCCTCACGTTCCGAGATCCTTGTCTTAATTGCCCTTATTACTCCAGGTTATAAGGCATTACATGATTGAAGCATGTACAAATTTGCTTATTTACTCTGTGGTCGGTATTGCTCAGTTTTAAATACCGATAGCGTATATGTTTATCAAAATGATTTCTGTTGGATGTCCGTTTCAAATTATGATAAGATTGTATTAACCCGTAATTACAAAATAAAGGTAAAAACAAATATAAAAATATAATTTTTGTATAATAACTGCAATGAGATAATTACTGAAATCGTTGTTTTTTTCGCAAATAGGCAAACTTACTGACATGCTCTACTTGTCACCATTTAAAGTTAAATTATATAGACTAGGCCAGAATTATTATTCTATGTAACTACTCTGAGAAGAAAAGGTCTGTTTTAACGTCAAAAGTAAAATTAAATAGAGTGCGGGAACCGTGCAAATTTATTATGTTGTGATCGTTTGAAGAGAGAACCACCCGAGTTTGAGTGGATGCATCTTCAATGACGCCATGACTCATGACGTGATTCCACAGTCTTGGTAATAAGCTACCGTGATTTGCAGTCGCAAGCCGGGTAAGCCGAAATTATTCCTAAGTAGCTATCGCCCTAACAGTTTGCTCAGCGCCGTCGCAGCTGTTACTTCCGAGTTCACCACTCTTGTGCACACTAGCTCCACCGCATCGTCGAGTGTGTCAGCTCCAGATTTTGACGCGGCGTGATGGCGGCTGAGCTCTGTTTTACTTTATTGCGAAAGCTTCCGACAAAGTCTGGTATAATGACTTGATTTTCAAGTTATACCAACTCGGTGTACCAGATCTTTCTGATATCGCATCGAAAGAGCGACTTCAGCCTTTTGCCCAGCTATGTAGATTCGTATACCGCAAGGTGCCGTGCTCCCCTTTACCCCAGGCTATCTAGGCATAGTAGGTATAACAGGTCCTTAGTCTTTCCGCGGTGCTTGGCGACTGGACTCCCCCCATGTGGGCAGTCTTTTTGTGTCTCTGGCCTAACTAATTCTGTCTCCTGCATCCAATTTACAGAGGGAAGTGGAAGTTCCGTTTTTTCTTCTCCTCTAATAATATCTTCTGGTTTATTCACATCACAGGATCCAAGACAGTTAATTATGTCCCAGGGATGGACTGCAGTATTCATGATTGTATCTACTATTGATCTTGGCTTACAGGAGTTGCAGCGTTTTTGAGCATTTGTGACTGGCTTGTCCCAAAAAAAGCCGAGGAAACAAGTCGTTGCCGACCTTTTGGAGATTAGCAATTTGATGATTGTAATATCCTCGATGTCATCCTCGACCACCACCTGGGTGTCTCTCGAGAATAGAATTACGTAATTCGGAGATAGGAGGATAAATTAGGAGAGTAGAAAGATTATAATAAATGCTCGAAAGGCGCGCTAGCTCCCGACCGCATGACTCACAGAATGCTATTTCCGAAGGGCCACGGAGCATCATGGTACCTGAGGTCGATTTGATCTCGATCTCCAAATATTAACTACCAGTAAACTGCCTACCAAATCTCCCGATATTGACCTCATAAAATAAAAATAAAACATACACAAAGAGTTAAAGAGACATGGTAAAGACACATTAGATTCTTTTTTTTTTGACATTGTAGGGCTATGCGGGCGCACAAGTTATCAAGCGATATCAATGCCAAAACCCATGTAACCACGGTTTCAAATAAAAGTAAATTGTAAATAATATGATATGTTTTTATAGGTATACTGGTGAAGCAAGCACATCGGCGTGCTGTAGTGAATACCGAGTATGTTAAGTTGTTGAGAGGTTGTGTGTAGTGGCAGTAGTTGAGCGCCGCGGGTGCTGGGTGGCGGGTAGTGTGGGAGTGTGGCGTCGTGCTAATCCTCGTCCGTATCGTTACCAGTTCGTGCCTGACGACCTGAAAGACGACAAGTACTGGGCGCGTCGGCGGAAGAACAACATGGCGGCGAAGCGGTCCCGCGACGCACGCCGCATGAAAGAAAACCAGATCGCAATGCGGGCAGGGTACCTGGAGAAAGAGGTCGGTTCCAATTACTGTATAAACCATTAGTAGGGATCCCGGAAGGAATTCTGTAGTTATTCGAGCGTGTCAGATTAACTTATGTGTAATCTTAGCGTCTTGTGGTATACCCGCCATATTATGCGCAGATTGATTGATACTTGATTATTTTAAATTGGGGAGGCGACTGAAATATCGAAACACAACGGTTCGGATGGTAAACATTTGCAAGCAGGCAGATTGAGATTGTTTCAGTAAATCACGCCTAATTACTTTTTCTTTCTAGCACCAAACCTTGACCGCTCGAATAGCGATATCGATTTGAAAGTCTAAGTTCTTTTATAGTAAAGAACTTTGACTCTCCAACTAAATAAGGAAAACTCAATATTAATTTATTATTAGCGTGATTGTAACCCACGTAAAGACGAAGTATTTCATAGTAACTTTAATGAATATTATATACATTTCCAGAACATGGGCCTGAGACAAGAAGTGGAGCTACTTAAGAAGGAAAATCACATCCTGCGAGAGAAGCTCTCAAAGTTCGCGGATGTATAGGCGGCCCGCGCCCCCCCACCACCCGCATAGCACAAACACGCCACACGACATGTAAGCACATCAACTCGAAGTGGACTAGTAGACGAGTGCAGTGGGAACGGCGCACGTAACGTGTTGCGTGTTGCAGGTCGCGGGCACTCCCCGGCGCGCCGCCGGTCGGGCCTTGCGCCCCCACGCCCCGCGCCCCGCGCCCCCGCTCGCCTCGCGTCGGTCGCGCCGTGCCAGCCTGCTGCTCGTTCACTTCCCTAGTGGGGCTGCTTCGGCCGCGAGCTCATCGAATGTTGCAGGATCGCCGCGACCCTCTGTCCACCCGCTGTCGTCCATGTTGACATGTTAAGAACGATAGTGTAGCTATTCGGTGATCTCGTCGGTCTACTTTGTAACTTGTTCGACTAGTAGGTTTAATTGATATTGCAGTTACCGTAAGTTTATCTGCTTAGTTTAATAGGAGAATCTTAACCAAAGTTCCGTTCGAGCTCTTGATCTATCGTCGTCTCTAATTCCTTCTCTCGGACTCTGTCCGACACTCAACAGGGTTAGTCAACGACGTACGGACCAAATTTATGAGAAATTGTTATTTGTGAACGGTATTTGTGAGCCGTCCCGAGCGCGCGCCGGCGCAGTCCGACCGACTGCGACTGCGATGTTATTGTAATAAGTTAATGTTGTTGAATATTTATGTATTTCGATACCGGCCACGGCGGCGGTCGCGTGTTTGCTCAAGTGGCTCGCGTACGCATGCGCAAGTATAGTGGCTGCGTCTGTATATAGATAGTTTTAATAGGGCCCCGAGCCGGCCCCGGGCACTCGAACCTACTCGAAATCTGTATTATAAACGTTGCTGTTGTAAACTCTGACTTCGTCCGTCCCACGTCTCACAAGATGTACCGCGCCCCGGCGGCTCGCGGGCCGCTCGCGCTCGCCGGTGTCTCACTAGCTCGCTTCGTAGGACTGCTCCAGATGAGATTAGCTCCTGCCGGGCACCCGGTGCCCACAGTACCTTCTGTCGATTCAGTAGTGAGCGAACACTAGTTTCGTTTCAAATTTACTTAGTGGATAGTGTAGGTAGTACGTAGATTCCGTAGCGTAGTTGTCATTAGTCTATTTTTGTTATGGCTGTAGATGTTAATGTTTTTGAAAGTTTATATAATTTTTTTTTAGTTGTAAAGAGACTCGCATTAATGTATCGATTGGGTAGAACCCACGGACAGAATGAAGGAAGTGGTAGGCGCGAGCGCAGGCGGCGGACCGGGTGCGCCCGCGCGGCCGGCGCACGCGCCGCTCCGCCCCGTGCGCCGCGCGCCGTCGCGACTTACGCACTGATGACGTCACCCGGACGTTTCCCCGCACTCTATTTGACTCGTGCTAATGTTATAATATATTTTTGTAGGTTTTTGTCGTTGATAAATAAGTCAATTGAATGTTTATTGAATTGAAAGAAAATAATGTTTATAAAGTAAGACTAAGAAGTTGTTGCATTTGAAAGTATTTTATGGATACAAAGCGAGAACAATAAAATGTTTTTTCTATAAAAGTTTACAAGTGAGGGTTTCTATACATAGGTGTCGCGGTTGGACTTTGAAATGCACTGTTTCATATCAAACGATATTATTGTAATATACTTATGGCCGCGCCGCGTGGCATTTGATATTCCATCTTGTTTGTTAAAAAATATACATCGGATTATGCAATATTCTGTATAAAATAATGGTACCTATACATACATCATAATATACTTGTTTTCCCCAAAAATATAACATGAATATAATAATGTAATAATATTAAGGTATCGTGATAAGATGGAGTCGTATGTAAGAAAATAGCAGGGCGGTGGGCGCGGAGGCGCTAGGCGGGACGTTTGGGCGCCCCCGCGCCCCCGCACCGCTGCGCCCCCGCGCCCATGCGCCTCCTCTGTGCTGTCTTATTATTTATTTATTTTGTTATGAAGCGCGCCCTCGATGAGAGGCTATTTGTCTGTTCTACACTCGTCTACATAGCAACAACATAAAACCATATTGTTTTACATGTACGCGTAGTATTTTGTTTGAATTAATTTATATATGGTTCTATGGATTGAAAATAAACGTTAATTGTTGTATTTATATTTAGTTTGATTTGTGGTGCATGCGAGTCGCGAGTAGTGGCCGCTTGCCTGTTGTACCGCCGACACGTTGTCTCCATCGGTGTTTATGTACCTAAATAAATAAATCATCGATATGTTACCTTGCGCATGCTCGAGTTTTCATTATCCCGTCCTGTCTGCCCACAGCACCTGGCAGTGAGTAACATTCCTTCGACTATTGACAACAATATATGTATAACAAAAATGTATTGAAAACATCTACTCAAACTCAAAAGCATTTATTTCAATTAAACCATAATTTGGTACTTTTGAAACGTCAACTACATACCTATCAATATAGTTGGGTAAAGAAGTATGTACTTCCTATCTTGAAAACAGCAAATCAGCGATCGGCGGGTCCCGATGGTATTCGTTCTTGTCTCAGGACTATAGCAGGGTACTGTGGGAACCATGGCATTATATATTTTGCACAAAACACTGAATGTACAGCGATTTTTCCGACATTCTAGAAAATTATCATCGTCACTCCAGTACTCACAGGGAAGGCGGGGTCTAACTTATATCTATAGACTAGTATCTGTGTGGCCAACTCTGGCTATGGCGCTATATAGAAAGAAATAAATAAAACAGCTTATTACGCCACGACACACGCAGACAACAATACAAGACAGACAACAGACAAAAAGAAGTTCATGGTATGGTATATCTTTTTAATAAAAACAACGTGTGTCGAAGGAGGACTTTTCTAAAATGTTAATATTGCTTTTAGTTGAAACTATTAATTCATTTTAAACTTTTGAGTACGAAGAAAACAAGGCCAAACTAGAAGTTATGTTATTTATAATTATTGAATTTCTAGATAATAATCTAGCTGCTAGATTCTAGTGTGAGTTATTGTCAACACAAAACAGTCGAGTCCATAATCGATTGGGTTGTGCAAAGACATATTCGGTGTGGATCTCACACCGAATATGTCTATCTACTGACTTTCGACAGCCGTCAGACCCTAATAATTAGTCTTCGCAATTTGCGTGTTGTAAGTTAGTATCTACGAGACCTTTTTGAGGAAAGTTAGGACCCCACTTATAAGTTACATGAATAAATAGGACTTAAAACTTAACTCTCTAATGTGGATTTAGTAGTTCAAGATTGTGACAATAGGTACCTGATCAATTACAAGTGAAACAAAGACAGAATCTGCTAACATTCTACTTACAGCCGTGGACGAAAACAGAAGATCTCAGTCCGTCCATTCAGTAGATATCACAATAAAGACAACTAAAATATTAAACCGATTCAGATAGTCGTAGGATACACTCTGGTAAAGGTTAAACAGATATTCTACGCGAACAAAGTCGAAGACAAAAGCAAAGTGGTGAATATGTGTTAGATACGAACTCGTATTACAAGTAGTAGCAATAGTGCTAGCACGTGTTATGTATGTATTACTTTAAATGAATCAATCAACAATATAACCCAAGTTACAAGATATCTAATTAGTACGTACTAGCTTCTACCAGCGACTTCGCTGCGTTTCCGGGGGTATACAGGTATACAGTAGCCTATAATCACAACTACATCTGGTTCAATGTCATCCCGGTCCCTTTAGCTGTTTTGGTCAGATGTCTGTTTCAGTCAAATTTTCATATTCCTAATTTCGTATTCCTAATAGCGGTTCAAGCTAATTTCGACTATCGGCCTCACAGCTACAGCGTAATGTGCACCGTCCACTGCGGCTTAACATTCGACAAACTTATATTTGCGTTTGGTATAGTAATGTGTCTACAGATCAAACTGCACAATTAAGTTGTGTTTATCGGGATAAAAAGTTCGGGAAAAAAAAGAAAAATAAGAAAAAACCTATATAATACCTTTCATCGTAATCCAACCGGTAGTTTTTGCTTGATGCGTGAACATACATACAGACAGACGGGCAAATAACATAGTTAATCAGAGTTTTGGGATTTAACAGTAATCTAAACCAATTCATTTATTATAAAACATTTATTTTTCATAAAAAAAACATAAACGCAGGTACAATTGCTATAAATACAAGAAATAACAATTAAATTCAATTAATTATATAAAATTATAATTAATCAAAGAAACAGCTTGTTGAATCATACACGTGGCTACGTACTGCTGCAGGTTACCTGCCATTTTAACTTATCATCTAAATGCTGTCGTGGTGTAATCTTATACTAGAAGAACACTCCTCTTATAAACCTGCATGAAGCAATTACAATGTGTGTCGACTACTTGTACAAGTCTGATGACTGGAGCAATGTATGAGAGTGTCCGTGGAACATAGCGTAGGACGCGCAGACTAGGCGTGCAGTGGCGGCGCCTCCGCCGGCATGAAGGAGCGCACGATGCCGACGAGCGCCGTGTACGTGCCGGCTACGAGGCCCACCACTCCCACTATGAACAGCGCCACATCTTTGACCAGGCGCATGCGGCCCGGCCCGAACTTGTCCGGGAACGACACACACATCTCCATCAGCGCCGGGAAGCAGATGCCCAGCGCAGACAAACACAGCGCCCCAAATAGAGAGATGAACAGGCCCAGCCGAGGTACCGCCACGGCCAGCACAACTGCAACAACAGTTCTCAGTCGAGTACTCGAACGATTGCCAATCGTAAGATTGTGATCAAAGCGTAGTTTACGTACAGGTTAGCAAGCACAGCCCCACGCGCAGCCCGTACTCGGCGAGGCGCAGGCGCGCGGGCGGCGCCCCCGAGCGCTGCAAGCGCGGCAGCAGGTAGCCGCGCCACACCACCTCCACCGGCACGTAGCAGTGCAGCCCGTAGCTGATGAAGATGGCCACCGCGAACATCGCGATCACACTCGTCGCCAGCCTGCCCACACATACATTCCAAATAAATACTTCTTCAAATACATATACCACTATTCGTGTACGTGTATACCTGTGCTAGCAAACAACGTGACAGATATGATAAAGGATCCCTACTTTTTCAAAGTTCGGGAAAATCATGACTTACAAGACGACACATTAAACTGATGATCCTCAGACGCCAATATTCGAACACTTTCATGAAACTGTCAGAACCGCAAGAAGTATTTTTCGAGTGTATCCCGAGGTTTCCCTCGTGGTCTCATCTTTAGATTGTCATCATCATTCTCATCATCATGAGCAGCCTATAAGTGGCCACTGGCCACTGGCCACTGCTCGTAGGCCTCTTCCCACACGGATAAGGTTTGAGCATTAATCACCAGAATTACCACACTTGCTCAATGCGCGTTGGCGATTTCAAACTTATAATTAGAAATTAGAAGTGAGTCGCGAGACTAGCTAGTGGACTTATATTATTTAATAGCTACTTCCGCGCGGCTACATCCACTCTGCTCGGCGCCTGTTGATCGTAGCGTGATATTTTATGAGCCTATAGCAGATACGGCGAATATTTACGTATGTACGAGCGATTTTTCTAAAGAAAAAGTGTTGGAGAGCCATGCTTCGGCACGAATGGGCCGGTTCAACCGGAGTGATACCACGGCCTCACAGAAAACCGACGTGAAACAACGCTTGCGTTGCGTTTCGTCGTGTGAGTGACGTTACCCCTCCCTAGTCTCCGTCTCCCGAATCCCTAAATCTTCCATAATTCTCAAATTCCCAATTCCCAATCCCAATTCCCAGGCCGGTAACGCACTGGTAACGCCTTGGTGTTTCGAGTGGCCATGGGCGACGCCGATTGCTTACCATCAGGTGATCCGTCTGCTCGTTTACCGGCTTATGCTATAAAAAAAGAAATGTTTTTTGAGGTCCCACATGTGCCATAAAATAATAATAAATTAATTTTGTGGTTCGTTAAGCAGAATTCATGCTGAACCGAAGTCATTTGTGTAACTGAACCATTAATAGTATTCATATCTGAAAAAAAAAATAACGACACACGGACTGATTTTGTGATCAATGACGTGCCCAAAATATTGTATTGGGTGCCATCAATGGCACGCAATGGTTCGCTATGCCTGGCTAAAGGTTTCTTTAATAAATGGACTATCCAACACAAAAATAATTTATCAAATCGGCCCAGTAGTTTCTGAGATGAGCGCGTTCTAACAAACAAATTCCTCAGCTTCTTAAAAGTAAGTATAAATTTAAGATATCGAAATTATTCACGTTCCGATGAAACTATGCACAAATCTGGTATCGATCTTAGTGTTGTTATGTTATTGATACTAAGAGGCTGTCACTCTCAGTGTCAGCCGTGATCGAAATACCTTCGTACTCTTCTAAACTGACACTTTATAATTAGCCACTTGATACCTAACTGCTTGCACAGTAATCCGTTTAATAGATGCTACTTTTGAAATTGAATGAATGATAGTGCATGAGGTAAGTAGAAGTCAGTACTGACGGTCCCTGCGGCAGATCCAGCGTGACGGAGTCGCTGCACTCGGACACGCAGAACACGTAGCCGAGCGCGCCCACCGCCACGTACAGCAGCACTATCACCAGCATGCCACTGTTCAGCACGCCGCACGGCCTGCCGAACGCCTTCGGAGTGGCCATGTTGTTCTCCAGGGCAATGACCTGCAACACTCGCGTCACAATATGTCGCAGCGTGCTTAGCGCAGTGGCCAGTGCTGGGTCGCTGGTCGCTGGGACATCACGAGTTATTGAATCGCTCAGCGAACACAAATATTTAAATAGATATAAGTATTTTTTTCTTAAGTATCTACAAAGAGCTTCCAATTATTTAATCGAACAATTTAGTTTGGCACCAGCACGCGTTAATGTTTTGAATGAAGAATGTTAAGTAACTCACCACTCCAACTGCTGTCAGTGCAAACAAGATGGTCCCAAAGAAGAGCGGGAAGGTAGAAAGTGAGCCCCACAGGTCCAGTGGCGCGGAGGACTTCTTGTTAGTGAGCAGGTAGTAAACCACTATTCCCAATCCCACGAATGTGAGCACGTTCGCCAGCGCCGAGAATGGAGCCAGCAGCTTCAGACTCGGGATCAGGTTGAAGGCGATCAGTGGGCCCAGGATTATAAGCATGTGGAATTCGACTGCCATCGAATAATACGGGTCGACCATCTAGAACCAATCTAGTAATGTTATCCATTGAGCATACCAGTTATATTATAAATATAATATTAAAGATAAAGGTTGCCATAACACGTATAGGTATACGTTTTTATATTAGTAAAATTCCCAATAATGCGTAAACCCAGTAGATCAACCAAACGTCCACATGGAGACGGACAATGAACCCCTCTAAGCAAGAATCAATCTCGACCAATCTCGGTTCTCACATAAGTGCGTAGGTGAAAGGTGGAATTCCTGCTCCAATAAAATACTATTAAAACATTGCGTCATGGGCTCATGCGCGGTGGATTGCTTGATGAATATTGACGTAAGGAAATGGGCACGACGCCGCCCCACTTAACTCAATTGTACCGTCCGCGATCCCACGTCCGCCGCGTACCGAGCCGAGCGTGCGCCCGGGAACTCGCTTCGAGTACCAAATCCCAAACCGACTTCACTAACTCATTAATTTACCATTTCAATTAAATAAGAGTCTTATCTACTTGACCGGTTGAACGAATAATCTAACCTTTTTTATGTTATCAGCGATGAAGACGATGTAGACGCAACATATCCCGAGCTGGTAAACGACCAGGAAGATGTCGACGGTGGTAGCGAGCGAACCGGCGAAGCGGCGCAGTGGTGGCGGCCCTGCTTCGAGAGCCGCCGACATAGACTGGGGGTAGGTAAGAAGCGGAACTCTCAGGCGTCGGCATGCCGCGTACTGCGATCGAACCTGAAACGCAATACACACAAATATTACCTACATGCTAACATTCAAGTAGGTGCAAAAGGGTGGGGTTTAAGTGAGGGAGACATACTTCGGCACGAATGGGTCGGCTCGATCGGAGTGATACCACGGCCTTGCTTGCGTAGTGTTTCATCGAGTGAGTGAGGTTACCGGAGGACCAATTATCCCCCTCCCCAATGTCCCCAATCCCCATGTATCCTCAAATTCCTAATCCCTAGAAAACCGGTAACGCAATGGTAACACCCCCAGTTGCTTACCATCAAGTGATTCGTCTGTTCGTTTACAAGTACCTCTATATTTAATAAAAAAAGGTTTTATCTCAACCAGACTACTGAATTACTGTGACAATGTGACAATGTTGTTAATTTATTTTTAGGGGTCCTTCGTGGCAAGCTACGTTTCCGTGATTAATGTTGGTTCGACTTGAGTTACACAAAGTGAACACTGGTCCCATCACAGGCTGGGTGAGCGATAGGTATAATGCATAGTTTGCAGGCGATGATGGTATTGACCGCTCACCAGCACGTGGAGGCAGTGTGTCACTAAGGCGCCGACGATGATGGTCGCCAGCACGCCGGTGACTAAGCCGGCGCGAGCGAATGCTTGCGGCATCGCCAAGATTCCGGTGCCCAAACTGCATTTCAGAAGATGCACCAGTGTCTCCCAGTTGCTGGAAACAAGCGTAACGAGTATTACAGCTGTCTACGAGTAACGACCTGCGAGTAACTGAAGAAGATGTTGGGCATCATGATACAATCAACTGATACTGTAGTAATTATGGTATCAAAGTCTCTAAAAGGCTATTGGGTGCACTGTATACGACGACTGACTTCCATTCCCAGCTTTGCACACGGGAATTAGCTTTGGATTATGCAAAATTTTAAGAAGTTTATTGTTTTTTTCCGCGAAAGTAATTGTTTATAAACTTTCCCAGAATGTTAAAACAGTAGGTTGTGATTGCATATTTTATTACATTCGTGGAATTTTACTTCGTTTCGAGGTGTTTTCGAGGCTATTCGAATAGAGTAAACAAATTTCCATTAACTTAATAAATATTGTAACGCATGTTATTGTTTACATTACATTTTGTGTCATTTTATATTCATTGTTCGAGCACTACATTGACCGCCTACATCTTCTCCAAGACGATTGTGTCCTATCATGTGAGACACGTATTAAATCATCGTGATTATCCGTGTAACGATAAATATCGCATTACGCTAGTGTTGTACTTGTATTCTTGTGAAAACATGTCTGCGTGAATTTTTTACTGTTATAGTGAAGTGAAGTTGGAAATATTCGAATCTAACAGAACAGAATAAAAACAGATCGATGCTTTGTTGACTTCTAATGATTTTCAACGAGGATTAGCTTTGTTGAGAACAGTCGATAAATATTGTCACCGCTACTGTTTATTGACTATACGGCATTTAGTAATTTTATTAGAAGAATAACGCGGTAACACTGGTTTGAATATCAAACAGACAGTGGTGGATGAGAGGATGACATAAAGCAAAGATTAGTTATACCTTGGAATTGAGCTGGTACATGCATCAGCTCAACAAAGTATGAACAATTAGAATGACACTAGACGATAATTCTCGTGTTCATTACTCGGTTGCGGTTCTCGTTGATTCCATAGTGCGTTTGCTGTCGGTCCACGTATGTAATGTATCTCTCCCTATAATGTGTCATGCGCTCGTGGTCAGCATCATGTACAATGTGGCAGACAAAGTATCTTACGCATGCAGTCTCTGCTAGGCATACAAGGGCGGTGTAAGTGGGTTTTTACTCACTTCGTTGGGTTCGACAGTTGGCGATGCTCGTGCGGGTCGTAGTCGGATTCGCACTCCCTGCGGACAATGATGGTTGTGTCATCAAGTCGTCACTTACATGCGCTACTTGTGCAGCAGTCAGCAGCCGCTGCCAGCCATACTCACTTGGACCCTGGCTGAGCGGCCTCGCCCACGGGCTGGAGATGCACCGTTTCGGAGTTGTGGCTGTCTTGTGACTTGCTCATTTTGGCGATTGCTAGAATAGACAAATTTAGGGTCACGTAAATACTACAATACATCAAAGCCTTATGCAAGTGTTTACGTAACAATCCAATTATTCAAATGTATGCAGTGAGGTAGCTTCTTGTGCCTAAACACATTTTATCTAGATGTATTCGCAAAAGCCAAATAAGCATTTAAAAGCCTCTGACATAGAACATGTTAAAATGTTTCCCCTACAAGTAAAACATTATTCAAAAGTAACTAAATGTAGTCGCCACACACAGCCACACAGGTAGTACACATACTTCGGTAACTCTGTTCTAGACCTGTTAGTCCAGTTAGTTTATGTTTTGTCAAAAACTGTCGACTGCACACCTAATATCGCCAGCATGCCGGTTAAAATATGTATAAATGTTTATAAACAAGCTGAAAAAGAGAAACAAATCGAATGTCTTGATTTAGCTCACGAGATGTGGAGTCTACAATAGGTTAATCTCCAAAAGCCACCTCAGAAGGCTGGGAAACAGATCAAGGACCTGACGCAGAAAGCAGCTCACGGCGCTAGTAATCGCCCCCAATTTTTCTTTTTAATATTACTACTTTTTAGACGCAGGGCAGATAAGACTGTATAAAGTCGGTTTTGTGGCGCAGTGACTCGTTTCTGTATATTTAGCACAAAGTATCGACTTTGCTAAACAAAACTACAGGTACATGACATTAACCCCGGGATTATACAAGGCTACACCCACAGCCCGCTACACTCCTCTACTGACAGTCGAGTTGCTTTCGTTATTGAACTTCATTTCATATAAGAAAGCATCGGCGTTTGACCATTTTTATCAATTTATGATAATATTTTTTTTAATCATTTATCGAATAAGTGTGTAATAATAATTCGTTGACAGAACAAAGAAAGCTCAAGTAAGTGGTGTACTTGAATATATGTACTACAATAATACGAATAGGTATCACGACATGACATGTGCAGCTTACATTGTGTGTTACGGGAATAGTTTCCGAGACCAGTGCGCTCTGCTTTTTTGTGTTAGTTTAATTTCCCGACCTAATAATAGACTTGTGAAAAGTGGCTCAATCTGAACAAATTTAAATAGTGAAAGCGCGCGTTATGTTTACGTAAAGTACTGAAGAACGTAAATATTACCGGCCATTTTCTTTTATGTAATACCCATAAGGCGTTTATGAAACAATTTTGTTGTCCAACGCAAAATGTTATTAATAAATGAGTAATATCCACACAGGAAATAGAATTACTATTGTAAACATTACATACAGAATAACCGCAGTAGTTACAAGGACAACAGGCCACACTGGTCACAGTGACACACACTACTGGTCACAGGAGAGCGTGGCAGGAGAGCAGCGCGCGCGCACGGTCCCGGCGGCGGCGGCGCGGACTGAGCCGCGGCCGGCGCGCGCGCGCCCACGCCCTCAATCACCGTGCTCAGGGCTCCACTTGTCAACTATAAGTCATTTACAGGCAATTGGATCGCTGTCACAACCGGCGCCTGCTCCATCTCAACAACATAATGATACGAACGTAAATAGTTGCAACAAGTGACGTCATTACATTGTACTAGCAGTACGGTTACCTCACACTGACCTACATATTACCGGGAATAAACACTATCAATTCAGGTCCACCCAGCTCTAAGAACATTGCAAGCATCTCCGAACGAAATACTCTTTAAAATAGTCCTAGAGCCCTAATTTAATTTTAGAATACGTCCGATACTGAACATAAGTCTTATAAATTACTTCAAGATAGGCTGAGTAGCAGCAACCTGCATCCGGCTGCTCCCTGCGAACTAGAATTAGGTCTGGACAGACCTGATTACAGTCAGATAAGTGTCCACTCAAGTCCACCTAAGGCGGCTTAAAATAAATGACAAATAAACTATCGACAAGTGATAGATATTTGAAAGATTATTTCGCCATGACTAAAGATACAGCTAAAGACAGAGTAACTGTAAACACAAAAAAACTGAAAACAAATAAAAAGTACAAATAAATACCTAAAAATAATGATTATTAGTCAAATGTGACTGATAGGTTACCCACCCACTGAAGTCGCTGCCACAAATATTAAATAACTAGTTACTTCCGCGCAATTTGACACGCTCTGCTCAGCTTCTATTGGTCGTAGCGTGATGTTTTATAGCCTATAGCCGTTTTCGATAAATGCGCTATCCAACACAAAAAGATTTATTTAAATCAGACTTGTAGTTACGGAGATTAGCGCGTTCAAACAAGATAAGATTTTATTATTAATTGAATTCAGATCTTAACAAACAGCTGAAATTAAGCTGTTTTTAAATTTTCATATTATTACTAGTTTCTGCCTGCGACTTCGTATGCTCCGTTCTCGAAGGACTTTCGGGAAGTCCTAGGATATAAAGTATCATATGTACTCCAGGTTCTAAGCTGCCTCCACACCAATTTTCAGCCAAACTGATCCAGCTGTTCTTATGTTGGACGTTATTATATATAGTGTCACCGTTTATATTTTACTTTTTAGTTTAGTACAAGCTTATGCAGTCCAGGTGTACTTTTTTTTAAGGGGGGAAAATCATCGAATGACTGCTCCCGCCTGGGTGAGGCGGGAGGGAGTGTCAGACTCTTCCTTCCTTCCTTCTCCTGCACGTCGTGCCAGAGCCTCGGTTACCCTTTAGGTTCTCCGCGACAGCCCAGGTGCACTACGTATGACCCACATGAGTGCAAAGTTATCGTTGATGCAAATCATTGAACACCAGGTAGCTACTGTTAATTGTCGAGGGTCGACGTCCCTTAGCTATCATATTACTTCATCATCAGGTCCATAATGACAACCATACCCTATCTAACTACCTATCTAAGTATAAAGTTCTCATCAATATGAATAATCCAAGCCCAAACACGTCATCTATTAGCCTCGAGGAGTTCTCTCGACTGTATCTGGGCTCCATCATCAGATCGTCTCCACACCTTTATCAAATTGAAGTAGTTTTTAATACATAATAAAAAATAAGCAGACACACTAATCGCCCCTATAACTTTTAAAAGTTCCTCTCAGTTTCCCTAGGATCCTATCATCAGATCTCATCCCGGTGGGATTGGGACCATCCCGAGAATAATAAAAACTTTTCTAACAAAAAGGGTAAATAAAATCATTGTACAAACGCCGCAGTAACCATTTAATACAAAAAGAAACAGACGTATTAAGAACCTCCTGCGTTTTGGGAAGTCGGTTAAACATGGCTTCTATACTCCCATCACTGCATTGGCTACACTGCTCTAGATATGCAATAAATTTGATATGTATCTCTCCCGCTATGGATCCCGGAAGGACGCGTCGACCCATAGGACCTCATTTTTTTTATTTTTTTAAACTTTGCCCCACACTAGGATTTTCTCCTGTGTCGTGGGTGCGTTTACAAACATACAAGTTCACATACACAATGACACCCAGACCCGAAACAACAATTTGTGGATCACACAAAGTGTTGTCCCGTGCGGGAATCGAACCCGCGACACGTTGCACGGCAGCCGGTTGCCCAGCCATCGCACCAACCGTGCAGTCATTAAGGGATTGGTTTGATTAATGGCACATATACTGGCAGAATGCAGCTATGGATTGTGTAAGGCTGAGACGGTCACAAAACGCTTGTAACGCGCAGAAAATCTCATGCAGTGGTCCCTACAGACAACTTCAGGTCTAGTTTTTTATTTTATACGTATCCTGGTTTAATTCTGTATCTTTTAGTTGCAATTTCATACGCTTTAGATTGCTGTAACTCTCTAAATATTTCCTTTCTGAATTAAAGTAACTGTTATAGTTGCGGTGTCCTTGCCTGATCCACATCGAAAGCCAGTCATAATGTTTACTAGAGGTATAAACAGAGAAACCAAACATAACTCTCACAAAATCAACATTCATCGATTACACACTTATTGTAGTCACACCATGAACACAAATCTTCGAACTTCATATATCATTGACTACAATATCAAATGCTTTATTTTGATAAATTAGTTTATGGTTCCAAAGTCTAATTTTTGTTTTTTGTAGTTGTTAGATTGGCACAACTGTTTTCCATTTTGGCGCGGAGTTTGAGTTGCATCTGTTATTTAGATTAAATACAGTGCTGGTTTTAGTAATTTCATATATTATTATAGTGTGTATTGCGAATTTCATAATGGACAAAAATATCGAACAAAGAGTTTGTCTTAAATTTTGCATCGCCAATGGAATTTCGTGTTCGGAGTCACTGAAAATGTTACAGAAGGCTTACGGTGAATCGATTTTATCAAAAACTCGTGCTTATGAGTAGTTCAAAGCGTTCAAAAGCGATCGAGATGTGATGGAAGATTTGTGATGTGATGTGATGTGATGGTAGGCCGTCAACGTCTGCACCTGAAGTTAACATCACAAAAGTGAAGGAAATAGTGACTGAAAATCCCCATTCAACTCTGAATGAGATAGCCGCCGAACTCTGTATCTCACGAGTCGATCTGTACCATTTTAACTAATCATTTGGGTACGAGACATGTTGCTGCTCAGCTAGTCCCAAAAGATCTGAATTTTCTCCAAAAACTCAATCGCATGAAAGTCGTTGAGGACATGCTAGAACGAGTCAGTTCGGACCCAACATTCATTAAACGCATTGTTACTAGTGACGAGACGTGGGTTTACGAGTTTGACATGCAAACTAGTCAACAAGCTTCGGAGTGGCGCCTTCCAACTGAACCGAAACCGAAAAACCACGCCAAAGTCGATCAAAAGTCAAAGTCATGTTGACTGTTTTCTTTGACTATCGCGGTGTTGTGCACTCTCAATTTTTCCGGAAGGTATAACGGTAAATAAAAAAAAAAGAAAACGGTAAATAAAGAATATTATTTGAGCGTTATGCGGCGTTTAATCCGAACAAATTCGACGAAAAAGGCCAGATTTGTGGAAAGAAAGTTCTTGGATTTTGCACCACGACAATGCACCTTCGCACAAGGCTATCATTGTGAATGAATTTTTGACCAAACACTCAAATAATAATAAATAATAATGGCGTATTGTTTCTAAAGGAGCATACTTTGAAGGTGATAAAATAAATTTGGTTGAATAACAGACATTTTGTGTATTATTGATCTTTTCCCGGTACTTTCTTGACGGAGTAGTATGTAATATGAAATTAACTGTGGTGGTGTGGTGGCCTCTATTTTGTTTTGAGTCGATATAGATGACGGTGTAACCATAAGTACTTACTGTATACCTACATAATTACATTGTACCTACCGCTACCGGGTTCCTTATTATACATAACCTGCTTAGATTTTAAAAATGAATTTAAATTTTCATCGTACGGTTCATGGCTTCAATGGTTCATTCGCCAAACTCTCATCAATAATTTAAAATACAAACCTAATTCAAAATTATCGTTTTGGTCAGTTCTTTCTCTAAGTTTAGGCATCAATGTTTAATTCCTACTTGGCTGCAGTGTGTGGTGCTATTGTGTGCGGTACGGTGCATGGATGATTGTTTGAGTTACGTAACATGTTGTGTACGAGACATTGGTGGAAGAATATGATGTAACACTCGCGCTTGCGAAACTACAGACTATTAAAGCTCGAAGAGTGATTACAATAGATAAATCTATTAGAAGCACAATAAGTATGAGCTAGACTGGTGTGACCTACCCCAGGCCGGAGAGCACGAGCCCGACGTGCAGGAGCAGGTGCGGTGGCAGCCGCAGCCTGCGCGGCACCCGCGACGGCTGCGAGGTCGCGGCGCGCGTAGGGCGCATGCGCGCTAAGCTTAGCCGCGCTTCTACCTACACGCTGCTTTGTAGCCCAGCCTACCACTGGGCTGGCTTTATCACGATGCTCACTCTCAATGCCCAAAGTATAGCATAACCTGAAGCTGATCCTCCTTCAATGTGCTTACACCGTGTAACGCACACGATCCACTTACAATAAGCACAACACAGTTTAGTAGCGGACGCGTGAAGTAGCTAGCGAAGGCACGCGGCGGAGTGCGGCGCGCGCCGCGCGTCGCCCGGCGGGTGGCGTCGCGGCGGCGGCGGGGTGCTGCGCCGCGCGCCGTGGAGACGCAATACGACTTATTTATACCCCAAGAACGTAACAATAAGTTAATATACTATTAATTTTAATATTTACAATAAAAGAAAATTGTATCTTTAAGGACAAAACCGGCTTCAAAAACCAAAAACTAAAAAGTATAAAATATCAATTTCAGTCATACATAGGTACCTACTTATAGGTAGCCCACTCATTGATAGGTAAGACGTCGGAGCCACAAGTTTTACACAAAATTATTCGTTACATCCGTAATATAGCTGACCCGGCAAACTTGGTATCGCCTCTAATTTTTTTCTCACCATTAAACCTACCCTGGACTTCCACAAGTCATTCAAGATCAAAATTAGACAAATCGGTTCAACTGTTTTCGAGTTTTACCGAGAATCACGAACAGCATTTCATTTTATATGTATATAAGATTGTAACTGTGGCCATTATTATACCTACGTTATATTTTGTCGTGGGCTACTGGACTGAAGTGTATGATTATTTTTATTTTTTTATGGAATACGAGGCTAACGAGCAGACAGATAATGTATGTAATGTACACTATGTAAACGTGCGTTTTACTATAGTATTCGATTGCACGAGCGTGGGGGCGTCGAAAAGAGTGTGGGAGAGTCATCCTTCGGCACGAATGGGCCGGCTCGACCGGAGTGATACCACGGCCTCACAGAAAACCGACGTGAAGCAACGCTTGCGTTGTTTCGTCGTGTGAGTGATGTTACCGGAGGCCCAATTACCTTCCCCTTCCCCAATCTCTCCAATCCCTGAATCCCCAACGATCCTCAAACTTCTAATACCCAAAAAGCCGGTGACGCACTTGTAACGCCTCTGGTGTTCCAGGTGTCCATGGGCGACGCCGATTGCTTACTATCAGGTGATCAGTCTGCTCGTTTACCGGCTTAAACCATTAAAAAAAAGAAAAGGTTGGGATTTGTTAAGGAGACTGTATTTCTAGGTGTCACACTAGATCATAGATTACAATGGCAGCCCCACATAAAAGCACTTTTGGGCAGATTAGGCTGAGCTGCTTATGCAGTTAGAAATTAGGCAAGTCATGGACGTTACAGCAATGCTTGTCTATTTTAGTTACTTTTAGAGCGAGCTACTCGTGCAATGTATAACTTACCCCGCCGTGAATCTCTGAGAAAACTATTTAAGACGATAAATTCTATACGACGACGATATCCTCACAGTGCCATTTCAATTCATATACGGAAAGATAGATAGATTTTATATACGATAGATAGATTTATCTATCTCCAGTAGGGCAAAACTAGGGATAGATAGAATATTGGGAACGGCCGTAAGTCTACTACATATTAAGTACTACCAAACAGAATTCTTTATTATTATGTTCTACATTGCTGCTACATTCTTCCAATTTGACATAGGCTACATTTCATTTAAAAAAAATTAAGGATCCGTGGTAAAATTTGAACAATGTAACCGTAGGTGTAGAAAAATGAGCCTTAAAATGTCTTTCGTCGAATGCGCTGCCGAAACTATTAGCGATAGAACAAAATATTGTACAACAATATTGAAGAACATCATAATGTCTACCAAAAACTCCGCGATAGCATATGTCCAACTATTGTAGTTATGCAATCCAAATTTCAAAAAATAAATAATTGTCTATTCCGTGCGAAGCCGGAACTGGCTGCTAGTGTAAAATATAGCTAATTATATCTTAGGGGTTTTTACTTCGCGGGCCTGCGGACGGCGAGCATGGGTGGCTCCCCGTCCGACCAGAAACAGACCCAAGCGAACGGCGCGTCGCGTTCCGCGCGCGCCTCAAAGAGCCATCAGACCACCACAGACGGGGCCCAATAGGGCCGATGCCGATTCGGAGTCGCGGAGAACCTAACGGGTAACCGGGGCTCCGGCTCGACGTGCAGCAGAAGGAACGGGGTGGTTTTTAGTCAGTAAGAGTCTGACACCCGCCTCACCCAGGCCCCCAGGCGGGAGCAGTCATTCGATGATTTTCCCCCCTTAAAAAAAAAGGGTTTTTACTTATAATTGTATTTATATTAGAGGGGGCGAATAGGTACCTTAAAATAATATTTCGTCTTAAAATATTAATTAAACCAGGGGCCGAATCCACAAGTTTTATGCTAAGGTTGAATTTTAGGGGACGAATGGGTTCTGACCCTCTATTTCAGCGTGGTTGTGCTGTTGCGCATGCTACTACATCCTGATACGTTGGCGGTCCGCTTTTTTAATGTTCACTTCTCTGCACTGAAATCAATTTGGTTCAACGGCATAACAAAATATAGCTGTTTCATTGCCGAGCTATGAAGGCAGACAATCAACCTAGGAAAATAAGGGTAACTACTAAGTATCTCGGAATATGAGATAGTCGGCTGAAAACCTACGAAAAGTCTTTATTTTGTTGGATTACATAAGATTTGCCTCAAAACTAACTTACAGCAGGCCGTACGCGTCTATAGAAAGATGATAAAAATTTGCATGTCTATTTGATATCAGATATACAAATCTTATGAATTTCCTTTCGTTAGCCTCCTAAAACTTGAGAACGGCTGAATTTGATATTGAAATGTACGTGGTGGTCCAGGGAACGTGCACATTTTAGGCGGCACGAAGTTAGCCCGGTCGGAAGTGACTGCGCGTGCGCGACATAGACGAGGCCGACCAACGGTGTCAATCTGTTTGTTATACGAATGCATTCTCTTTGGAAAAGTGATGCATTTAAAAATAAAATAGGTTGTTGACATTATGCTCTGTTTTAAATAGAGCGACTGATTAGATAATCAAAATTTCGTTGATGTCAAATGAAATAATTATAAGTATTGAATTTTTAAAACTGCAGTAACTGAATTACAACTGCTGCTAAGCAAGAGTACGTGAAGCGGGGCCAATATGTTGCACATATACGCAGCCACTACTTCGGAACCGAAACCCAAGTCTCGCGGCTGGCCATTTAGCGGGTCTACGAGTACGTACACGACGCAGAACAAAACAGGGGCCACCACCGATAATTGTCTTAGAGTAACTTAACAGCTGATTACTAGTAGTCAACATGTTTTTAGTAATTGCTATGTTTCATTATGTACTATGTAGGTACCTACAACCTACATCAGTCAGCAGAAATACACTTCAGTGCACTGCTTGAGGAAATGTGATGTGAAATGATTTAATGATTTGTGTTCATGGTGTGACTGTTTGTGTTAATTGTTAATACTATGATTGGTTTTCGATATATTTCTCTAATTCAGGAGAGAGATTTAGAGAGTTATAGCATTTCGCGACGGTGTATCGCGAGGAAGTATCCAGAGCGTATGAAATTGCTCGAAAGATTAAGAATTAGACCAGGATACGTACAAAATAAACTGAACCTAAAATTGGCTAATCTATGTGCCAATGAAACATACGTGCCATTAATCGAACTAAACTCAATTCAACCCTAGGAAGATGCCCAGCATTACAAGCTAAGTTTCTTTTTATCTCTCTACCGACCAGAGCTCATCGCATAGCTTACGTGTAATGTGTTCAATGATATTAACTTTTCATAAGAATACATAATTAAACTACATACCTTGTGGTGTGATCATAAACATGGAACTGAACCACTGGAGCACCTTACTCTTTACGGGCGAATGGAAGGTAAAGTTTTCACTGTTTACAGTGTGGAGAAACAATATGAACAATTTATGGATCCACCCTTGGACCCGACAGTTACCGGGGTCCAAAGTTTGTAGTCTGAGTGGAATTTGCTTGGTAGACAAAAGAACGGTAATTCTGAATAAGAGTTCTCTAACAACTAGGAGTAATTTGACCTCATGGCATCCGATATACACAAAAAACTAAAAAGCAAAAAATAACTATTATTAATACTGATAGGATACCCACCCACTGATAGGTAAGAAGTCGGTGCCATAAGTTCCATACAAAATTATTCATTAAAACCTTAATAGGTACCTATGCTCCGGAGGAGGTCTCTTCAGAGGACCCGGTGCCCCTTACAGGTGTTGAGGGTGGCCACCGGGGTGGTTTTAGTGAGGTAAGAATCCCACACTCCCTAGTCTTTCTCCCCAAAAGCTAGGCGCCTTTTGAAGGTTTCCACTCGACATCAAAAAAAAAAAGGTACCTAATTCACAATTTTGTGGACATTAAGTTATATCATTATGATATGAGCTTATGGCACCGACTTCTAACCTATCAGTGGGTGGGTAACCTATCAGTACTAATAATAGTTATTTTTGCTTTTGAGTTTTGACTTTTTGTTTGTTATTACTTTTTGGTTTTTTGAAGTCGGTTTTTTAAACGCAGTTTTTATTTTATTATTTTATCATTTTTAGTGTAAAGGTACATATACCCGTTTTGTTACTTATAATCTACATAGGTGCAAAGTTCTAATCAATACCAATTATACAAGCCCAAACACAAGGTAGTTACTGTATACCGTTGAGGAGTTTCCTTAATAATTACACTTCTTCATCATCAGACCTTTAATGACAGCCCCACTCTATCTATGTGTAAAGTCCTCATCAATACAAATTAATCAAGCCCAAACACAAGGTAGTTAATATAAACCGCTAAGGAGTTCCCTCGACTGTCTGTCGGCTCCATCATCAAGTCGACTCCGGACCCTTATCAAATTGTAGTGTTTAAAAATTGTAATTGAAAAACATAATAGACACATTACTTTCGAAAGTTCCCCTCGGTTTCCCTAGGATCCCATCATCAGATCCTGGTCTCATGGCAATAGGACCATTTCGGGAGTATATCCTTTCAAACAAAACAAGAATTTTTGAAATCAGTTCACAAAAGGCGAAGTACTGCGCGAACAAACGAAAAAAACAATCAGTCGAACATAAAGAAACACCAAGCTATTGCCTATTTTTAACCTCCTCCAAGTTGGTAAAAAATAGGCAATAGCTTGGTGTTCCTGCAAAGCAATGCTCGTCCATAAACAACAAGTATGACAAAAGGAGCTCTTTCTAACACCATTATTAGAGATTCCCCATGGCGTGTAAGGAATACCAATGCGATTATATAAAAAGAAGCTAAAAAAAATACACCTAAAGTCATATAAACAATCGGCAGGAATTCATAAACACGCTTAACGTCTGTTGGTAACGGCTATTGGAAGAAATGGTCACCGACCACATTGGAAGTGACGAGACAAGAATAGATAGACTCAAATAGTGCCTATGGAGTAGAGGGGGCCCAACCAACCTCTAACAACAGTCACAACAAAAAAGAACATGGATTAAAAACGTAACTGTTTGACGAGCAACTCGACTAGTTCCAAGCCATGCCATATAAACCTTACTGTTTTTCTTATTTTAATTCAATTTTCCTAAAACGTGTATTTTGTGGGTATTTGTAAAAAATATTACTTTTAAGCCTCAATTAGGGTGTAAACATCAGGCATGTTTGTTGTGTTCTTAAAAACCAGAAACACATCCATGATTTTTGATAAAAGCCTAAACCATGGGGTGGCCCTTATTTTGTTTTAGTATACGAGTATGATATGTAAGATACCCCCCGTTACCCGGCGTGAGGCGTTGCCATGACAGTGGTGATGTATTGGATGAGGTGCAGTATACTGTGTGTCACTCACTATGTAGCAGTAATGAGTCGCATGCACATAGCGCAAGGTGCACATATACAACTACACTAAACAGTTGTGGTCGTACATCTACTGGCATTAGAAGACTACTCACTGACTCACAGACCGGAAGCAGTATATTGCAGTCAAACTATTTCACATTTACGCCTGATTGCTATATGACTTTAGCCAAGTCTTCGATGGTATTACCTATATATTATGTTGCAGTCAAAATTCTTAACCAGTCAAATGTACATGTAACCGACCCCATCAGGTAAAAGTAGATAACACTGTTTTTATTTTGGTACTCAATAATACTTTGACTGGTTACAATTGTGCAAGTCTTAGTAACTGAGGTATTCCTCGTAGCGCTCCCGTTTTGAAGCGCGCCCATCTAAGCGCTCCTTTTGGGAGCGCTTAGAGGAACGATTAAAAATATTAAAGTTTATTTCCTCGAAGCGCTCCCACGATTAACTTTCGGATAGAGATGGGACTTTACTAATTGAAATTATCGATAAGAACTAGGTAATAAGTAGAACACATTGTTATAATATAGAATTAGTCCTTATTATCTTTCTTATGTCATCAAATCCTTACATATGTCGGCAGATTATATTTATCTATTTGTTGGACAAAAGGATTTACAATAAAACAAAAAAATAATAATTACCAAAGCCGTGCGAAGCCGGGACGGGCTGCTAGTTGTATTTTGTATAGAACCTAACGGGTAACCGGGGCTCCGGCTCGACGTGCAGGAGAAGGAACGGGGTGGTTTTTAGTCAGTAAGAGTCTGACACTCCCTTCCACCTCACCCAGGCGGGAGCAGTCATTCGATGATTTTCCCCACTTCAAAAAAAAAAACAAAAAAAAAGAAGTTGTATATTATAACAATGTGTTCTACTTATTACCTAGTTCTTATCGATAATTTCAATTAGTAAAGTCCCATCTCTATCCGAAAGTTAATCGTGGGAGCGCTTCGAGGAAATAAATTTTAATATTTTTAATCGTTCCTCATAGCGCTCCTTTTGGGAGCGCTTAGATGGGCGCGCTTCAAAACGGGAGCGCTATGAGGAATACCTCTAGTAACTATATGTATGTACTTTGTAAGATTATTTAAGACTTCACTGACAAACGGTGAAGAAAAACATTGTAAGGAAACCTGGGCGTCTAATTTTTAATTATAAGTTTGAAATCACCAACCCGCATTGAGCAAACCTTCTCCGTGCGAGAAGAGGCCTATGGTCAGCAGTGGCCGCTTATTGACTGTTGATGGTAAACTTACCTATCATCTTCTATATGGACAGAACCATTTCAATTCTCGTCTGAGGACAACAATTGCTGTGTTTATACTTGTGACTAGTTGTTTAGCGAGTGTGTCTGTTCCAACAGGCGCCGATGATGACTATGACCCGCACGAACACCGCGTTGTTGAAAAACCTACCACGTAAGTGAAACGTTCTTTTCCACCAAGCCTTCTGTAATTTTAAGAAACTCCTAAGCTAAGATAGGGGACTCTATGACATTTAATAATATTTAGAATTTTCACCAACCTATGAGTGACACCTAACAAGTTAGCGGTTAGTTTAAGAGTTTCCTCAGATTAAGTAATTTTTAGTTAAGATCTCATTACCATCTGGTTGAGGGGTGGAAGGTGATAATGGCCATTACAAAAGTGATAAAATTTTTAATACTCACTTTTGAAAGTATTCTTTTGGAATGTCGGAATACAAAACAAATAAATTATAAATGTAATTTTGTTACCCACAATTAATTAGGCAACTTTTCTTAAGTAAGTCAATCAGTCAAAGCCAATTCTAAAGTGATGATGCACAGATTGTACAATTCATGGTTCGTCAAAAATGATGCTATCCTTTGCCACAGTAAAGCAATTGTCTTAGAATTTATCATTCCATACTAGCTTATGCCCGCGACTTCTTACGCGCATTCTGGGATTCATTTTTATATATGTATGTCGGAGGAGTCATGATTATGTTCCGGTTGCTCGGACATAATGCATGTGGGCGAATATGAGTATCGCGTAAATTATAGCAAAACCATTTAGAATTAATCACTGCGTTTCTTATAATCACAAGGAACAGTAACTTGGCGCTAAGCGAAACATGGGCAGTTCCGTGACAACATCTTAACTCAGTGGCGACTCGAACTGAAGTGAGCTCTGCCGAGTGCAACTCTGACACCACGACTCTGCCTAAGCGCACCGGAAACCGCTAGGTGGCGCTCTTGCGTTCGATTTAGCGTCCGTACTCATGATCGGCTCCGACATGTGTACAAATTACTGAAGAACAAAATTATAGACGAAAATATAAATATTTGTAGCCAAAGAGTCATAGGGTATACTTTTTCGTGGATAAAAAATAAGTGACTGTAATTTAAAAAGTACCTACATGAATTAGATTTATATTTTTCTGATATTGTTGGACCTTGTCGATCACCTGGTGCCCTTTGGACGTTGTATTTTATTTTGACTTTGGCAGGTACGGGGAAACCATGACACATATGGTGAAAGGCTGCGTCGGCGCTGGCTTGCTGGCAATGCCCAATGCCATGTACCGCATGGGCCTAATAATTGGTGTACTCGGTGTTGTATTCTTAGGAGTTTTTGCCACATACTGTATACAAATACTGGTAAGCATACTTTAATATTATCTTTGACAGACATACCAAACACATGAATATCTTTCCAAAATCCAAGAGTCACACAAGACGGCCTCACAGAAGACCGACGTGAAACAACGCTTGCGTTGTGTTTCGTCGTGTGAGTGAGGTTACCGAAGGCCCAATAACCCCCCCCCCCCCTTCTCTTATCTCCCCAGTCCCTGAATCCCCAACCATCTTCAAACTCCTAATCCCCAGACCGGTAACACACTTGTAACACCTCTGGTGTTCCTGGTGTCCATGGGTAACGCCGATTGCTTACTATTAATCTTCATCCAACTAAATGATTTGAATGACTAAAATTGAAATATTCCATTAAAAGCAACTGGTGAAACTGCGCTGTAGCACTAGTGATCTAATAACACGTCACCCTGTATACAAGCTGCAATAGAAATTGCCGATCATTTTTTTAATTAACCTAAAATTTGCTAACGTCACTAACTGCGAGTTAGGTAATAACATTTTATTACCTAACTCGCAATTAGTGACGTATTTTCTTCAGTAGGTATTGCATTCAATACCTACTGAAGAAAATACGTCCTAACGTAAATAAACCTTCGATATCCACAGCCTGTTGTCGTCCACTGCTGGACATAAGCCTCTCCAATGTCACGCCACCGACCTCAATTTCCAGCACTACGTATCCAATCAGTACGAGACACTTTATGTACATACATTCAATTACAAAAAGTATCGGGAATGGATGATTTGTTTATGGTTCCAAATTAATTTTTGTTTTTTTGTAGTTGTTAGATTGGCACAACTGTTTTCCACGGAGTTTGAGTTGCATCTGCTATTTATATTAAATACTGTGCTCGTTTTAGTAATGTCATTATACAAGGTGTTGTTTTGAAGCCGTGTGATTTTTCGGGAGCATGTCACAGAAGTCATAAAGGTTCAATGTAAGAGAAAGTTTCGGGCCAATAGTTAAAAATACGGCTATAATAAATCGTTTAAGTTCGACGGTATTTCAGAATAAGCGACAGCAATGTTTCTTATTGGAGTTTTATGGAATTAGAAATAATATCAATTACGTGTTTGAGTTTGTGTGTGTTGAGCCGCGTTATGAAGCTAGTTACAAGACGGCGGCGTATAGTTCGCACTTACGGATTTCTGTAATTTACAGAAAAATATAAAATATTTAGGTACTCAACTTTTTTTTTATAGATTCGGACCCAGAATCGATATCCGAGTTACCTCCTAGAAAATGACGCGGCTTTAAAACAACACCTTGTAGAGGTATAGTGTGTATTGCGAATTTCATAATGGACAAAAATACTGGTGACGAGACGTGGGTATACGAGTTTGACATGCAAACTAGTCAACAAGCTTCGGAGTGGCGTCTTCTAACTGAACCGAAACCGAAAAAACCACGCCAATGTCGATCAAAAGTCAAAGTCATGTTGACTGTTTTCTTTGACTATCGTGGTGTTGTGCACTCTGAATTCTTACCGGAAGGTCTATATTTGAGCGTTATGCTGCGTTTAAGAGAGCAAATTTGACGAAAAAGGCCAGATTTGTTAACCGACTTCAAAAAAAGGAGGAGGTTCTCAATTCAACCGTATATATGCTTTTTTTATGTTTGTTCGCTGACATCTCCGTTATTTATGAACCGATTTCGATAATTCTGTTTTTGTTGTAAAGGAGATAGTCCCAGAATGGTCCCATGGTAAAGGAAATTAGGATCTGATGATAGAAGACCAGGGAAACCGAGAGGAACTTTTAAAAATTATAGGGGCGACTAGTGCATTTATTAATTTTTTTATTAAGTATTAAAAACCACTACCATCTCATGAAGGTCTGGAGTCGATCTGATGATGGAGCCGAGAGCCAGTCGAGGGAACTCCTCAACGGTTAACAGTAGCTACTTTGTGTTTGGGTTTGATTAATTTGTATTGATGAGGACTTTACACCTAGGTGGGGTATAATTGTCAATAAGGGTCTGATGATGAACTAGTACGGTAGTTGAGGGAATTCCTTAACGGTTAACAGTATCTACCTTGTGTTTGGGTTTGATTCATTAGTATTGATGAGAATTGAGAAAGACAATTCCGGAAGCAGCGTTTAAAAAATGTTTTGATGAATGGATTATTCGTTGGTGCAAGTGTATCGTTTCTAAAGGTTTTTATTTTGAAGGTGATAAAATAAATTTGGATGAATATCAGAGATTTTGTGTATTATTGATCTTTTCCCGGTACTTTCTTGACGGAGTAGTATATCGTCACTGCACCTAGCTGGAGGGCGCCCTACACTACGTTTGCCTAGACGCGGTCTCCACTCCAGAACACGTTTACCCCAGCGGTCATCGGTTCTTCGACAAATGTGACCGGCCCACAGCCATTTCAGTTTGCTCATCCTTTGAGCTACGTCGGTAACTTCAGTTCTCCGTCGAAACACGTTTTAGAGTCGTTGTATGCAGTGATTGAAACAAGTTGAAGTCGTGTAGGCGTGGTCGCAAAGCGTGCGCGTCCAGATGGCTCGGCTCGTATGCGATGTTGAGTGCTCCGAGGATGAGTGAGGGAAGAGAGTTTTATCTAGTGAGCGGTGGCTTTTATGCCATTCCAGGTATATCCCTACTATAGCTATGCTCACCCCCAATGAGACATCAGGCCGCCACGTGCGTTCCGAAACACAGTTTATTGTTTATCATTTAAAACATAATTGGTACAAACAATAACAAATTATCAATAGACACAATGAATAGAGCTAAACTAGAATAGAGATAATTCGGGAAGTTATCGCTAGGCCTTAAAAGTAATGAAGAGACAAAAGGACTTTATTGTACTGATTGGCGTTTTGGTTCTCTATTGAATTTCGCCAACATTTGGTCGGCAGCTGGTGTGGCCACAACCTCAATAAACCTTACAGTACCGCGTGTAGTTGGAATACTTTGCAAGATTAACAGTTTTTTGTTGATTGCATACGTTTCCCAATGTAAGTATATAGTGTATACAGAGCCTTATTACAAAAACGTCGTGCAATTTAAATTACACCCGGTGTAAAGATAAAATGCAGTTCAAGTATATTAATGTATTACATATCAGTTGAATGACAGTGTGTGTGCGCAGGTCCTCGGGCAGTACGCCATCTGTAAGAAGAACAAAGTGGGCTACATGTCGTACCCCAAGAGCATGAAGCTGGCGCTGCAGTCTGGGCCGCCCGCCTTGCGCTGGTCGGCCAATATATTTTCCGTGGCTGTTGACGTTTTGCTCTTCGGCTGGCAAATAGGAGTTTGCTCTGTATTTTTGGTTTTTGTCGCTGAAAATTTAAGACAGGTTCGTTATTCTAATGTTATTTGTTCGTAAGATGGGCAAGGTTCTCAAGTAATAAAAATAGTGATAATTGTGTTTACCATTCTAAAATCTAATTATTATGTTTTTCGGGTTACTAAAGAGACCCAAAACAAAATGAATTCCAAGGCCGATATCTTGAGAACGGTTAAGTGTAGGATATGGATTACCTCTTAAAGGATTCAGGTCGACTCACCCTGTAACCCTGTATAATATGTATAATAATCTTTGTTTGGACCAAAGAACCCATTGAATGCTAATAATATACAAAAACTTATTACCTGGTGCGAGTACCCACCACCATGTCCACAACTTGTTTGGAAGTAAGAGAGCTGTGACTCTAAACTGTCTGTGTAACATACTGCGGGTTTAAAATACATTGTACTTAGATATTCTAATTGTATCGTGACATATAAGGGGGCTTAAAGTTAAAGTAGTTATTTTCAGTTCCACATGGTGGGCAGTGATCAAATAATTATTTTAATTGTCAACAGTTCATAGAATTTGTCGGCGGTGGAGTCTTACCAGTGAGGATAGTCATATTAAGCTTGTACCCTATCCTGGTCACCGCCTGTATGGTAAAGGATCTAAAAAAGTTGGCGCCTCTATCTACATTCTCTAATGGTTGCAATGCGTTCGGGCTAATTCTTATATTTTTTTACCTGGTACAAGATGATATCGTCATCAAGGAGTCCATGTTCGAGATGAAATCATTTTATGACATCCCCGTGTACATCGGTATAGTCCTGTACGCGTTGGAGGCTGTGGGCGTGGTGAGTAGCTCTACATGTTTCTTCTATTCATCGTTCGTACAAAATGTACAATTTGTACATCTTGTGCAGTACAAACAATGAAATAACTGGCTGAGTGCGAGTCATGCGTTTTATAACTGAATCACTATTAAAGATGATTGTTTATGTTCATTAAGATAAATGTACGCGGGTGGATTCAACGCCTGAGTGATTGACTGCGCTCTATGTAAAATAGATACATACATTAATTCATCATCAACAAAAGCAGTGAGAAAACGATGTATTTGACTACGTAGGTTTAGCATGATTGGCAGGGTATGCAGTGCTTATATTTGCATGTTTGGTCTGCACGCCGCTGTGTACAACGATAGTTCAAAACTCGAGAAGTGATTTAGACAGGTTTCATCTCAAATATCCAACAGGAACTAGGCGTTAAAATAACAGTATGCTATTTTTTTCAAACTATTAAACAATTTTTCAGACAAATGGGTCTGAAATCTCGAACATTGATAGTTTGAGACTGAGAAAGAACCTAGATAGGTTTTATATCCAATATCCAATATAAAGGCCACGGGAACGGGAACTATGAGTTAAAATCCCGGGACGCTATTTATTTCAAACTACTGAACCTATTTGACTGAAATTCTGTACATTGATAGTTTGAGATTCGAGAAAAGACATAGAATAGTGTTCTTATTCCGAAAATCTGACAGAAACGGGAACTGCACGGGTAAGCCCGACTACACTGCGTGTCAGATAAATCTCGACGCAGAGTAGAGTGAAATATATATTTCAATATTTGAACTTTTATAATGAACATTCCACGGAGACTCTCACAATAAAGGCAAACTAGAGTACTGACTTGATTGAAATTTTATATTATACATAGAAATAGGCTTTGGTACAGGGGACAAGTCAAAACAATCTAAAATATGTCTGATGTTATTAATACGCATTAATGGATCAAGTCGCTGGCAAGTATTTACATAAATTACGGTTTGTCTATTTAATCATGAAAATAAATGAGGGCGCCACAGTCGTGCACATGACAATCCCGACAGCGCGACAGAAACAATACTGGTTCTAGCACACACACAGATTACCGATAACAAAGTGATAGTGTGGGAGAGCCATGCTTCGACACGAATGGGCCGGCTCAACTGAAGTGATACCGCCAACGAGCAGACAACCGACGTGAAACAAACATCGCTTAGTTAAGCAATGGTGTGACTGGCATAATCATCCAATTTCATATGGACAGAGACTCGTTACTACTGTTACATATGTAATAACAGTGATTTAACAATAAAATGATCTGTTTTCTTATTTTATTTATTTATTTATTAGCAGCCATGACGTCCCACTGCATGGTAAAAGCCTTCCTACCCTCTTTCTACTCCTCTCTATGCAAAGTTTTTTGCGGCAAAGCCTAGTTATACATGTCCATTCCGCCGCACCCTTGTCCATTTCTTTTTGGGCCTGCCGCGACGTCAATAGACGTCAATTGAATATATTTTTTTTTTTATGGCATAAGCCGGTAAACGATCAGACGGATCACCTGATGGTAAGCAATCGGCGTCGCCCATGGACACCTGGAACACCAGAGGCGTTACAAGTGCGTTAACGGCCTTTTGGGGATTAGGAGTTTGATGATCGTTGGGGATTCAGGGATTGGGCAGATTTGAGGAAGGGGAGGGTAATTGGGCCTCCGGTAACCTAACTCACACGACGAAACACTACGCCAGCGTTGCTTCACGTCGGTTTTCTGCTCGGCCGTGGTATCACTCCGGTCGAGCCGACCATTCGTGCCGAAGCATGGCTCTCCAAAACTTAAATTATTGAATATTTTATATTGAATATTTGAATACGGTTTTTATTGAATTCAATCATTATTGTTAACACTGGCAAAATATGTCAAAGTCAAATCGTAAACTTTAATTAGAATAATATTAGGCACTTTTAAATATGTAACAAATTAAAAAGCGACTACTTGAAGTTTATTCTAAAACAACATAAATTATAACTTATTATTAGTAAACGTCGCAACTTTGACTTCAGTGCAGTGTCGCGTTATTTTCGTTGTGTTTATTATGGCTAAGAACAGACAGGTCACAATGAAATGCTCTTTTTAAATCATCGAATGACTTTAAAGTTAAATATTATAATAACTGTTCATTTCTGCCTATCCCTTTGTTCGTGAGCTCGCTGCCATTGCAGTGGTAAGTCCCCTCTTTGAGGAGTGGCTTGAGAGACGCTACGGCGTCCTCGCCTACCGCCTGACACAGGTCCTCACCGGACATGGAAGTTTCGGGAGGTACCTGTGTCTGATGGGGCGGGAGGAAACACCCGGGTGTCATTACTGCGAGGACCGCCGTGAGGACACGGCAGTGATCGGCGATGGTGACCTCTCGCGTCCAGGCCTAGTGCAGGCCATGATGCGAAGCGAGGGGGATTGGGATGCCGTCTCCTCCTTTTGCGATGCAATGAGAACCTAACGGGTAACCGGGGCTCCGGCTCGACGTGCAGGAGAAGGAACGGGGTGGTTTTTAGTCAGTAAGAGTCTTAAACTGCCTCCCGCCTCACCCAGGCGGGAGCAGTCATTCAATGATTTTCCCCCCGTAAAAAGAAAATCCCTTTGTTCGACAAAAGTGTTGAAAATTATCTGTTCTATAACCCTATACGAGATTATGCTCTAATAACAAATCACCCCGCTACATGAATTATAATATCATTCACTCATCTCCATTCCGAATTGTTCGTTTGCATGTTTATAACTCCTACTCAGTTCTATTCACTGGACTCTCAAATTAACTAGTTTCACTTTTAACAAAAATGATTCGTTATACAAAGTCGATACCAGCTATTGACATTTGAAGTACTTTAAGTTAGTGTTACCATACTTTTGAATATTGTTCGTTGCTCAAACACCACTTTTTCATGAATAAATAGACAGATCACACGGATCAGGTATGTTAGAGGACCCGGTGTTCCATACAGTACACTACAATTCTGCACTCTATAGTCTATTTTCCCAAAAATCTAGGCACTTTTTGAAAAATTTCCCGTCATTAAAAGTCGTGACACTTTTTTGAAGATCAATTTACATCGAGATGCGAAGTAACGCGACGGTATTGGAAGCGGTAAAAAATTTCAAGCCGTGCCGCGCGCCGCCGCGGCTTAACTACGCATAGCGTGAAAGCATGTAGAAAATAAAGTTGTATTTTGAGCTGCTCTTTAAAAGTGCACACGCAGAGCGTCGCGTTTCGGTGTAAGCTGACCTTTGATGTATCTTTTAACCGCTTGTATGTCCGTAGATTCTGGCACTCGAGAGTAACATGGAGAAACCGAAGGAATTCACTGGGTTGTTTGGACTCTTCAGCATCGGTATGAGTATCATTGTCGTCTTGTACGCCACTCTGGGCATCTTTGGATATATGAAGTATGGAGATGAAATTAAAGCATCCATTACGCTCAATCTACCGCAGGATGAGAAGTAAGATTTGTTAGTACTTAATTCACATTTCTACACCGTCAGTCTACAGTAATGTCACATATAGGCTCTTCCTAGAAGTAAAGATCAAACTGAATAAAGGCACAGAAGGGTTCATTTCCGTTAGAAGTTATGCATATTTTTCGTTTTATTTGATTTTAATCGAACTGTTCCCCGCGGTTTCGGCCGCATATAACTATTTCAGCAAATATTTCTTTAGCTATAATCCAGTGTCATAGAATCCACACAATAGAGCTAAAAATCAATTCCCGGCGCGGAATGTGGCACCGATCACAGCCGGCTCACAGCCAATTTCTCGCTGCGGCTAAAAACATCTAGTCGGCAACCTAGACGCCTGGATCCCCCCGAGCCCCCGATTTTCCGTAGGGTACTAACGGCGCATTTCAAAGACTCTCCAGTGCAACAAAACGTTAATACTGATACTCAGTGGAAACAGTTTAAAGACAATCTAACCAAAAAAACCGAATAACTGACTACACGTGGGAACTTATGCAACGTAGAAAAGAATTATGAGTTGGAGGACTACAGAGTAATGCAATGACAGAATACTCCAAGATCAGCAGAGCCATACAGGCCAGCTGTTGCCGTGATAGGATCTCGTACATCGAGGGAATTTATAACGATATCGAAAGTCATTCGAAGATATTTCAAACTGCAGACCTCTGAAAGTTAGAGTCTTTCCCAAGCAGTTCATAGCTAGATCATAGGTGATAGAAGATTCGGACGACACGGTATTACTCAAGTTCAACCGCATTGCTGAGAGATGGCGTGCATACTGTGAGCAGTTGTACAAAAATCCTCACCCTTTGTCTGTTGCTGACCCGGAATCGAAGGATTTAGAGCTGGAATCCATGATTTTCCCTCTTAAGTATCCAATGCAGTATCATCCCTCAAGAGAAAATAGTTGCCAGGAAGCGACCAGATAACATCAGATGCTAGGTGCTTTGGGCGATTTTTTTTTTAAATGGGGAGAAATCATCGAATGACTGCTCCCGCCTGGGTGAGGCGGAAAGGAGTGGTAGACTCTTACTGACTAAAAACCACCCCGTTCCTTCTCCTGCACGTCGAGCCGGAGCCCCGGTTACCCGTTTAGGTTCTCCGCGACTCCGAATCGGCAACAGCCCAATTGGGCCCCATCTGTGGTGGTCTGATGGATCTTTGAGGCGCGCGTTTTGTCCCTCATTTCATATGCCAGCTAAATCTTGCTCCATATTATCAGAAATAGCATCTGTTACTACCTGGATTAACAAATCCCATAGAAGCAAGCGGGATTCGTGAAAAGTAGAGGCACTCAAGAGCAGATATGAGTTTGATACGCTGGTAATAATGTCGACGAACGACTACAGCAAAGCATTTGCCTGTGTCAATTGGAGTTGTTTATGGAAAGTCCTATTAGAACTAGGAGTGACAAATCACCTCATTCTTGGCACTCTATCGCCTGAGCCAAGGAATCGTAAGGGTCGATAGTTCGGTTGTACCATTTCACCAAGGATAATGACAAGGTTGCATTTTATCGCCCATTATACTTAACATCTACGGAGAGATATTATGAGAGAGAGAGAGAATTGGGATGGTGGTGTCATAGTTGGCTGCGTAAAAATCACAAATCTGCGATACGCCGATCACACTACGTTGCTCGCAAGTGAGTCGGGAAAGGTCACTCCCTTAAACCGAATATAACAAATTGGCGAAGAAATGTGGCTCTGCATAAATAGGTCCATATCAAGCTCATGGTAGTGGCTGAATGCGAAAAGTTGGCACTCAACGGTGCATTGAATTTAGAAATGGTGGACGACTTTCACCCCAAGTAGACAACAACAACATCAGCAACAATAGATGATGATGATGAGCGTTCTCTCTTTTAAAGTTGAAGTTACTGCTGCCAATTCTCCGACGCACCTCCGTGTGCATAGCTAACGTCATGTCTTAGCTCGGAAAAATGTGGAGAGATTGCAACATCACCGTTAAAACCAAAACCAGACTAGTACGGACCCTGGTCTTTTCTTACGGCGCAGAGACATGAACTCGTAAAAGGATAATTGGGTAGCACACCGCAAACCCATTGACGCATTTGAGATATGGTGCTAGAAGGAAGGAAGGAAGAATGGAGCAGAGATGCTCTGTAAGTCCGCACATGCATCTCATTTCTATGTGAACTCAAAATCTCTTAACTATTGTCATTCGAATGCTTGCGCAGAGTCCTTGAATACTTCCGGTCACTGTGCAAGGAAAGACTGTCGAGTCCTCAAGTGATCCTCGGTGATTTTCTCCATTATATACCTTATTTCCGATGCATAAAAGACTACTTTTATATGAACAAAATAATGTTGTAGATTTTTCGTACGATATAATATCCAATCATTGGAAAGACTCATTGTTACCGGGAAAATTGATGGGAAGAGGCCTCGTGGTCGCTGTCCGATATCATGGACCGATCAGATCCGCACCAAACTCGATTTTACTGTCCACAATGCCATCTTCACTACCAGACACAGGAATGAAGGAAAAAATCTTCTGCCAGAAAGTGATACACGAGGGGGTGATCACGACCCTCAGCACTGAGGAAATGGATTCAAGGAGGAAGAGTATAATAATGAACGTTATCTTTAAAGTTTACTTTTAACGACATGCCACAATTTCTACCCGAATGGTTATCAATTACGACTACTGATTTTCAGTCAAGGTACTAGACGAGAGAGATCCAGGAAAATAAGTTTGTTGCGAATTATTTCATTACAAACGGAAGAGGTATACTACCTCTATATGAAAAAATAAGAAAAATATTCCAGTTGACGGGTAATACGACTAAATGGATTTATTTTAGTTAAGTTTGATTTGATGTATGTCGGAGGATGGTGTGGGCGATGTCAAGGGAGAACCCTCTTCGTCATATATATCGGTAGAGGTATGTTTATGCAGTAATATAACAATTAAATCTTCGTAAATAAAGACGTAACGTTTACTTTCGACAGTGCACCTTTACTTGTTCGCATTATAATTAAGTCGGCATTTCCTA